GGAAGAGAATATATTTTAATTTTGATATAATATTAATCATTAATACCTATCAGTTTTCTTAGTCCACCTGCTGAAGCGGCACCCATTCCAAACCTGCCACTGTTAAGAATATTCATAGCAACCTAGACAGACAAAAAGTCGAATAGTTCTGCAAGTTGACATCACCAATACAGGGCTCGAAATAACAGCCAGACATATGCAGGACAAGATGTCCTTCCAAATTCATTTTTGGAAGGTCATGTCAAATTTTGAAAGGACAAAAACTTTATTATACTATTATTTTCTTTTAATTTATAGGTTTTTGTATTCAGAAAGATYGGCAAGCATTTTAATGGCTTGTAAAAGATTTATTTAGCAAATTGGGAATTGATTGTCTTTTTTTGTCTGAAAATGTGTGAGGTCAATTTGCCCTTTCAAAAACCGATTTGGCCGGTCATCTAGTAGCAAATTTGGAAGGACATTGTCATTTGGTGGGCCGTTATTTTGAGCCCTGCCAATATCAACTATACAAAATAGGCTGGAACTTCACAAGTTGAAACAATTATAAGGTGTTTGTGAGATGTTTCAAATGTACTGACACAAGGATGTGCCTCTATATTATATATAAGTGAGGTGCATTTACCTTGAATCCACTCCCAACTTCACCAAGAACATTTTCAATAGGAACAGGTGTGTCTTCAAAAAAGACTTCACAGGCTGAAAAATATTGATAAATGATTATAATTATGACATATTGATAAAACAGTCACAACTACAATACTCTAGTTTCGAATTCAAAGCGAAAAAAACCCTGCTACTTTATTTGACAGCAAATAATTTTCTTGTGCAAAGACCTTACCAAACACAACAGAAAGCACAAGAAAATGTACAGTATAGTGTTATTACTAGCAATAGCCTTGAAAATTTGCATTTTCCCAGAGTTGAGACTAACCCAGTATTTCAATCTATAAGACCTAAGGTTTAAGCCTTTTGTGAATAAAGGGTAATTCTCAACTCAGGGGAAATGTAAATTAATTGTAAACGCTTTTTTATTTCAAATAAAAAAATGATAAATAAAAAATGCAGTTTTATTCACTTTTAATTCAAAAATGGAGTATTCGGAGAGGTACTTACTGTTAGATCCTCTAATCCCTAGTTTATCCTCTGGTTTGCCATTTGATACACCACCGAAAGCTCTCTCGACAATGAAAGCTGTTATCTTGTCCACTTTCTCACCCTGTGCATATTAAAAGGTGCAATTTAGTTGTCCTGGTATCATACTGGTAACTTTTTTCAATGTATACAATACCTTAGAGTTAATAACTTCTGTTTGAGCAAATACAGTCATAACATCAGCCCATCCACCATTGGATATCCATATCTGAAAAACATTACAATAATTAATTGATTATTGAATAATAATTAGTTTTTTAATGATAGTTTTTCTATACAATTAATTTATATTCTTTTGATCATTACTAATAGTGCATTTCATTTTATTAATTATTACTATTTTTTTCGTATTTGGAAAATTATGAATGTTGATGATGATGATGATTATGATGATGATGATCATATACTTAATAATGTTGATAAATTGATCAAGTAGATAGCATGCTGTTCACCATCCTATGAAATCCCAGAAAGCCCTCCCATTACAATGTCACTTCTTTTAACCAAACTTAGACTTGCCCAACTTGGACTCTCTTTTACTCCCAGGAATAGATTAATATTGAGCAAGAAGCGTGACAGTCGAGTGCGGAGCGCAAGAGGAGTGTTGCAAGGTGAATCTGACTTACTGGAGATAGATAACGAGTGAAAAACAAACTTTGAGAAGGTCTAAACCAAAAACTACTGCATTTTACCTTTGATCCATTCAGATAAAATGTTTTACCATCTTTGCTCAAWGTCCCTCTTGTTTGTATGGATGCAGCATCACTTCCACTAATCAATAAAAAAGCAAGAAACAATGAGGGACTGAAAATGATACATTGTACATCCCTGGGGTGGGCAGTGGGCAGTGGGCAGTAACCTTGATGGTTCAGTGAGGCAGAAGGCTGCAATGTGTTCTCCTGTTGCAAGTTTTGGTAAATATTTCTTCTTCTGTTCATCATTTCCACAGATAAGGATTCCTTTGAGWCCAATGGACTGATGGGCCATCAGCGTTGTCGTAATAGCTGCATCCACGGCAAATGCTTCAGCAACACGTGCATAGCTGGTGTTCATAAGACCCAAACCACCTAAGAGAGGGTGGAGGGAACACAATGATATTATTCATTGTAGAAACAGTTCTTTATCAATCAGTGAAAGAATTTGAAACAATACAGTCATTGATGGATGGAAGATATGAGAACAAATGAATGAGAAAATTGATGAATGGAGGGAGGGGGAGGGGTGAGGGGAGGTCCGGGAGGGGAAATTTGTGATTAGATGAAAGAAGGAATGTATGAATGAACAAATGAAAACATGGATTAATGAATACCTAGATATTTATATCAATCAATCAATTTCAATCAATTAATTGATTAATCAATCAATCAATGAAATAACAAAATGGGAATAAATAAATTAAAACAAAAAAAAATGACAGAAAAGGTGATATATGCATTATTTATTTAACTTAATGCATATTACTACCATATTCTTCAGGTATCTGCAGACCAAACAATCCAAGCTCTTTTAATCCTTCCATAACCTCTTTWGGTATATTTGCCTCTCGGTCAATTTTTGTAGAATCAACTAGTATTTTGGAAATAAAAAAATACATGTACCATCAGGTAGATATTTCTCAATTTCAAATAAATTATAGAATATACCTTTTTCTTCAAAATACTTTTGTACTGGGTCTACTAACATGGCAAGTGTATCTCTCTGTTCTTGGTTTAATGGTTCAGGATATGGAAAAACTTTCTCCTGCATATCAAAATACATCATCAATATATTGTCTTCTAGAACTCATTAATAATTCATGAGAATTCAGAATCCAACTATTGGGTCACATGATGGACCTTTATATCCCGATAAATAAAAAAAAATGTTTTATTAATGTTTTATTAATCAGTTATCAGATATAAAGAACTGATGTTGAAGGTCATCAGCGCTTTATCACAACGCAACACTAGCAAAGGTCTCAGTTTTAATGCCGCATCATAGACCTTTGCTAGGTTTTAAATCAGTTTGAATCAATGTGCTGATATGCAGTATAGCATAGACTAGCTGTTCTTACGTGTGGGATCAAAACTCTTTCATTTGTGACAAATGCACATGCTCAATAGAAGTTTAACATGCATAATCTCTGTTTTCGCATTTTTTAGCTATTTCTAAAATGATAACAATTTCTGGATGTTGGAGTTCTAGAAGTAGTATAAAAAACTCGCAGTCGTGCTTTATCGGGATATAGACACTCGGCCTTTGTATTAGCTGTCAATGTTAGCTTATCAATATTTTACTTCATATCATAATATCAACAAATCTAAAGAATCTTATTGTTTCATTAGATTTACATATTGCAAAGGTTATATAGATCTATCAAAACTATATTTTCTTTACAGTTACTTATTGTACGTGACAGTATCATATTGGATGCTGATGTGACAATATGAAAAATTGACAGATATAATATTGACGGATCATAATATCAACAAATCTAAAGAATCTTAAGCTTATTGTTTCATTAGATTTACATGTAAAAGGTTATATCTATAAAAACTATATTTTTCTTTACAGTTACTTATTGTATGTGACAGTATCATATTGGATGCTGATGTGACGATATGAAAAATTGACGGATTGTCATAATCCAATCACAAACGTGTACACACATTCATATTTCGTGACGTTTGAATGGCAATAATTATATTCGTATTGTTTGTCAACCAAATTAGAAAGATCCTATTTTAGAAGAAATTTTATAATACAAAAACCTTTTATCTAATTTTATCAGTATTTTTCTCATGTATTTAGTTTAATCTTTAAAAGATTTCGTAAAACTTTGGGGAAAATTGAACAAAAGTAAAAAGAAACATGTTATGCAATTGAATGTCGAATAGTAAAACCCAAACAAGAGTTGTTTAACCAAAACACTTTGTTTGACCAACACAACAAATCAATGWAGGCTCTTTATAATCTATGGAATAGTGGATCGTATAAAAAAGTATTAAAATACGTACTTTGTTAAGTCTTCCCATGAAAAGTTCTTTGGCAAAACCAGCAGAGCAAGCTCTSGACATGTGAAGTTGACGGTTCAGATTTTGTCGAAAAACGGCGCTARCTCGTAAAAACTGTCTTGATAGCATTATTGGGGAAGCCATAACTTTAAATTAACCCTGAGGTTGCAAATTAGGGTAAAAAATAGAGGCAAACCACGGCAAAACACGATAATTTCCCTTCTTGTTGTCTGTTCTGTTGTAAAATGTTTTGAACTTTGCTCTCTCGTACTCAGTCTACGCGGTGAATTTTCCACAGGGAAACCATGTAAGTACGCGCTCGATCGAATTATAAATAGTGATGTCATAAACGAAAAAATATAGCATCCAAACTGCGTGTCAACCAAACAGAGAGAATATAAATGCTTAGTTGGTTGTTARAAAACAATCCCGATCCTAGTATAGACTTATCGTCTCTGCTTTGGTGGGTTCAGGCCTTTTTTCTGTCCTGCGCTCTCAGCGCTGTGGTAGTTTACATCGCTTACTGGCGGGTCAGATTTTTATACCACAGAGTCAAGAATTTGCCATTTAAAGATGGCGCACAAGAACCACATTTTGAGAATATGGCTTCAAAGGAAAGATCGTCATCGAGAAACAAGGTATGAATACAACACTCTTGTACCTTTTTGTGTAAAATTTTGAAAAAAACTGAATGTGTGCGCTTCGCAGAGAGGGATTTTATCTTTTGAGTATTGAAGAGATTTCTCGGGAATGAGCTCRGCGAGAATATAGAATCTGTTTGGATTACACCAGAATGTTATATTTTTGTTTGGGGGACTCTATTTTACACGTATCACGCCAAGCAAAAACGTAAGAAGGAAATGGAGATATTTTATGAATAATTATATAATACAACAATCAACTTTCCTCCTCAGATATATTGTTCTAACGGCTGCCAAGGAGCATGCGCATGCCCTGTACTAGAAAAGTATGGAGATTTTTCGAYGAGAGATCCCACATTCGAGCGTCGCGCTGAGAGAGTTYTGAAGATAATCTTGGTGCATCCWGAATAYTTRGGAGATATCCTCCTAACCGATAGGAACATTGCAGACCTTCTAGATACAAGACTTAGTGAGTTAATTGCCTTGAAACGGAGGAAATCCAGCTTTAAAAACGATGATTTTATTTCTGAAGAGTACGGTCTTTAGGGCAGCAAAAGATTGTAAAGCTATTTTGTTGAAGAGATGTTGTGTAAAATAAAAATTTGGATAGACATATACACGGTTTGAAGATTATGTATGTCATGAATAAAGTTTCCGTTGAAGGTATGGAGCTCGTTCAGGTTTCGAAAAGCAGTCAGGTTTCCCGCGTTCGACCGTTGCAATTGTAGATTTTTTTCTTTGATTGTTTCAAACGTACAAAACTGAGGAAGCGATTTTAAGTCACGTTATGGCAATTAAAGTGATACACGCGATTCAAATATTATATAGCCATACACTAGCTATAGTCTCAAAACAAGCCATCTAAAGCCYGCCAAAAATTAATTCGACTGCGCCTCGTTTATAACGAATTTTGATGTTTTGATTATAAGCTGATTAACCGCATCTATTCTTGTATGTGATATTTTATACACATAGCTGAGACATACCCACATGCATGTCATGAAATTCGCGGGTCAGCACTAATGATAGACTACTAGCACTGTCGATATTGCTAAACGAGACGAAAATATCCATACATAACGAAAAAACGACCTAATTGCATGCAGCCACAGTTTTGGTTTAGCTACACGCAGTCTAGGAGAAACAGCTACTGCAATGGAGGACGCGTTGGGCTTTGAATTGCAGATAGCTTTTATTTTTCTATTTCATCTATGAAATGAAACGGAAGTTTCGCTTTCAGAGCGGCAAATTCATACTGCCCGCGCGACTCGACGCAGTTCTGCATCAATATAAAACGCTTTATCAACAACCGTTCAAACGACTGTTGAGAGTCAGTGAAAGAACCATGAAGGCCAAAGTGAGTTTAATTCTAGTTTTTGTTTCCATATGCACCTTGGTTACTTCTTTCCCAGCAGAATATGRCAATGAGGAAAACAAACAGCTGGAAGGTATGTTTATGAAAATGATTCTGTTTATGAAATTTTGAATAAACTTATCAGTATTTCTACCTTTTTCGAACTTCTTTCAGAGGAAGAACTTGACAGAGATATAGAACAAAGAGATGAGAATGAAGATAATACAATGATGGATAAAGGTTAGTATACTATAATTAACTAAATAAYGGCAGAATACGGAGAAGCAGGGTCTAGTACCATGCAAGAATACATTAACTAGACTAGTATCAATCTAAAGGATTAACGTTCGAAACGTCAGTAAGTTTTTTCACCTACTTTTTTACGGCTTTAAATTTATCTTTTTACACAACTGTTTCTTTAGAAACACCGACGCAGCTCACACTCTAGTTTACCGCTAGTTCCCACCATACTAACTGACTAACAAAACCACTTTCAKTAACAAGCTATTAACAAAGTAACCAACCGCTTCTCCCTTCTTTCGCGTTGTTATATACAAAACTTTTGAAAAAGAAAAATTAGTATGAAATATACAAATGACTTTGTTGTCGTCTTTATGTCTTTACAACTGAACAACGTTAATGCAATTATACGGACTGTATTGCAATTAGCATTCGCTKAATAGGACTTGAAAACGAAACGGTCGAGGCATGGTACTAAATCCGCCTTGATGKAATAGAATAGAATCGTTTATTTCTCTCTTCAATTGTTGTTACAATTTTTTGGCATTGTATTAGGTAAATGTAAATAAGGTGAAAAGTGTCTTATAAATTTTAGTTTTCCTAATTTGGTATAGATGAAACGGAGGACTATAAGTAAACTTATCACTTTCTAGTTTCAAATTCTAGTTAGTCCTCTTCCTTTATTAAAGTTGAATTGATAACAGCAAGTGAGAGCTTAAATATACAGCATTATTGCGTACATTTACAAACATCGGATACAAAACGARAAGCAAAAGCTAAAGCCAAATATAATGGATGGCAAAAGAATGCAATGAGCTTCAAAAACAAAAGCCCGACAGCTTCACTTTTCATTGTTTTGAACATCTCACTGGGTATTTTGCCATCCAGCATGAAGTATTAAGTACCATGTGACCGTTTCATGCAAAAGGTCTTTTATATTATAATTCCTTCTTCACGGATTGAGGGTGTGTTCAAAACTGTATACCAATGTGTTTTTAATGTCATTAATTTTATCTTTGTTTTTTAGACCTTATAACAAAGAGAAAGTTCTTTTGCAACTGGCAATGTACTAAAAAGACAGTCAGAACATGCAGTCCTGGACGCTGCCGCAAATGCACCGGATTTTTTATTAGCCMAAAAAAATGCGAAACAATAACTTGCATGAGGTGCCGTAACGTAGTTGTGRAGGACTGCCCTTGTAACCCCACGTCCGGTTGACTGAATTCATTGGGAGGAACCTTTGGATAAGACTTCCATGTTGGTCTGCATATTAAATTTATTAAAGCCTTGAGTTTCATTAATGTATAAGATAATCTAGATTGCAATTTAATCAAATATGGTAAATAAAGCTCACTTAATTCTCAAGTCAAAATTGCATTCTTTTAGCGCGAACACCCTAAGTGTTTATCTGCGGTTCAGTCAGTTACAAGTTAACGTTATTCATTAGCACGTGCTTTTTAACAAGCTCTGCACGTACTTTAGAGTCATTTCCCTGCTGTTTGTTGGCTTYGCTGCCGTGTGTTGTTTCAGTTTTGTGGAGCGTATAAAAGAAGACGATTACACCAAGACAGCATATTTTTGTTTGAATATCACATACTGTTTTCTTTTCTTTTTTTCTTTTTTTATTATAATTATGTCATTTAACATGCGCAACGGTTTGTAACAGTTTTATAAAGTACAATAAGTCCCGATTGTATTGAATATAGGCCCAATAAGGCAACCGTTCAGCGACGCCATTTTGTACAGAGTATGATGTGAAATATAGTCCTCGCACGTATTTATGTCAGCTGAACATAGCCTCCCAAGGGTGTTTCTGTTTTTCATTGCAAAATTCGTTGGAAGTAGTTGTGTCGTTTCTGTAAAGTAGAATAAAAAAGACTGAAACTGGCCACTATTTCGAGTCATACCGTCAGACAACAAAAACAAAGAATTGTTGGAATATGTCAAACAATGCCTAGTTTTCTACTAGACTTCCCTGTTTTTTGCAATGCCTCTCTCTCTTTGTTATTTCATCAAATCAAAATCTTTGTTCTATCAGTAGTGTGAAGGACTTTGAATTTAATAAGTCAGCAAGTACAGTTTTRATTAAAATCTAAATTGCGACTGTCAGGTGAAGCTTTTCATCGGCGCCGCGCTTCGACGCTGTGCCAAACAAAACAAGTCCTCGTCMAAACAAGGTCACGCAGACTTGAACAACTTCCTTCAGTCAAAAGATGTTTAGCTTATATACAGTCAAAACATTGACGTCCAGCTGAAAAGACAAAAAMAAAGTCAAAAACAAAGCCATTTGGTTGTATAAAAATATGTCTTTGAAATACACGCGATGAGGCTCGACTTTCAAATATATCCACGGAATTTTGCAACTTGATGAAAAATTAAAAACACGAAAGCACGAAATAAACATGAGATAATTAAGGACAATAAAGGTTTTGATTAACACTAATCAAAAAATTTGTTAGCCTTCGGATTGTGTGGCGTTCAGTACAGTTGCACCGTATAGAGAAGAGATAGTAAGGTTCGACATTAGTGCCTCGTCAATACACGGAAGACAGGTTCATGTCTTCAATAGTGCTTAGCCGACAAAATCCTTAGCAAATACAGACACAATGCACAGAGAGCAACGCTTCAAGGTAAACTGAACAGAAAACTCAAAAGTTCACAAAGAATTTGTTTTAGTTTATTTAGTATAATTTTCCAATGTGTTGTCGTTGTTGTTTTATTGCTGGTCTGGAGAGGAAGACAAATATTCTGCTTATTTCTCTTAGTGCCCTCCGCCTTCCACCAACTCTTTATACCTGCAGAAGACTGCGTGGCCCGCACTAYTTTTTACCGCATGGAAAGTGTAAAACTTATCAGCACGTGCTCGCGTTTTTTATTGCTATTTTTACTTCTGACGCCGTCCCATGCATGTTTGCGAAGAGGAAAATTCGCTTTCAGATCGACTGCACAAGATAAGAACCATTTTTATGTAAATTGGAACGTTGACACCGGAACTACATATATAACTCGTGTGGTAGCTTTACAAATGTCAATGGCCAAGTTTACTTGGTGATGTGATGTAATCATGAAGTTGATGAACTGTACATGTAGCTGCACTGTCATGATGTAACATTGTACAAAATGAAACGAAGAAATATATAATTTAAAAATTTTGTGCAGAATAATCTGTATGACTTCCTGGAGTGCTTTACAAGTCTGCATATCCACAACGTACTGTACTTGAAGGGGAGGGGAGGGGAGAGGAGGGGAGCGAGTTAAAATACAAACAGCTTCCCCCAGTCACATGATTAAAAGCGCGTCAGATGAGTTTTATAATAGCAGCGTCCTTCACAGTGAGAGAGCACTTTAATACACACTTAAGCGCTGATAACAACGTTATTTTGGGGGCCTCTCGAGTCGGCTAAAACACGTCTTTCTTCAAACGGTATCTCAATTACTCTCAAAACTAACGCAAGGTAAGAATTAAAAAAACTCTTCAGAAAAAAATCCGTGCTTTAACATAGTTTTTCAGTTGTCGTGAAGCGGATGTTTCGCTTTCGCATCAGTACGGATCAGTAGCTTACTAACGTGTTTGCATAATTTTACGCTAGAGGGAGTTCTTACGCGTCACAAACAGTGTTTGCTGTGGCTATCAGAGTCACTCGTCGTTCATTGTCGTCATGAAGTTCTTATTTGCTGTGATATTGCTGGTTGGAGTTGTTGGTTTTACGCTTGCTACTCCTTCGCGGAAATTCTTCCACAGACAAGGTAAAATTACTGTAGTTCTTTTGCTCTTTTTATTTCTACAAAGATTTACGATTCGGAACGTAGTTGTTTAAAGTTGCTTTAATTAACAACAACAAAAAGGTCAACTGGACGGTCAGCAAACTTTGATACTTAAAAGTAAACAATATTTGAAAACAATTTGACCGTTGGAAATTTGTCGTTGATAATTTTCGATAGTTATTATTCTTTTTTTAATAAAATGAAGGCCGTACAGATTGCTGCATTTCGTAGTTTTTCAATTTTGTTGAAATTTGAAACTGCATACTCATACTTGTTTCAGGCAATTTGTATGAAACAAATTAAATCAAATTTTTAGATATACATTTTCTTTTACTAAATGACTTTTATCGATTCTAAAGCAAGTATAAACAACAACAAAAATTAGTTATTAGAAACTGTTCTGAGTTMAATCGCCAAAGAATTTGAATCAAGAAAAATTCCAAGCGTCGATTGTCAAAGTATTGCGATGCGACGCTCTGACTCGCGTCAAACAGCGCTGTCAAATCTCATGCAACTCATACAGCGATACAAAGATAATAGTGTTTATCCCTCAAGCTAGCATCTAGGCTTTACTATATCGGGTTCCATTGTTTTTCTTTGTTCTTTGACAAGTAAAGCATCAATTAAAACCAATCATTGAGAACAAAACTAGACATAAAAGAAAACAATGCGGATTGAGTGAGAGCWTCAGTTTGAAGCTGAAATGTCTCTCACGCATAGAACGTGTAAAAACATATGAAATTTCTTCCTTGGCATGCATTGAATAAAATCGAGGTTATAGCGCTGAAATGCAGGATTAGGAGTCTGAGGCCCCGTCTGTGCACGTAGACATGCTAGACGTTTGGTAAACGGCCGAGGTTTTAATTTCCGGCGAAGTGTACCGTCYAAACGAAAACGGTTTTTTTCTGTGGTGAAACGTTTCTACGAGAAAATAAAATGAAATAAAAAATGGAAGCGGTGCGAAAACTGATCAATGCAGACGATATTCTAAAATTGGTGAAAACCCGAAACGTTCTCAAATGAAATTTTCTATAAAGGATCAAGTTGGAGTCCTGATTCTCTCTCAAAATGTTGTCCACCTAAAAAAGATATTGATATATCTTCAGTTTCTGCTAGCCTCCTTTGCAGACATTCAGTTAGTATCGGTCACACATTGAGAAAGAACGTGTGACCAGTACTAATAACGTCTGCAAAAGAGGCTAAGTTCGTGGAACATGGCTATAAAAGAAATAGTTTCTAAAGGTTTTATTTTGATTTCACAGAAACCACTGACAGCGACACACCAARGACAAACAAAGATCTAGCTCACAATCAAGATGGTAAATTATATTCTAGCTTTGTTGAAATTTTATGCAGTCAAACGCTTACCGGCGCCGTCATCTTGAATTGTGAATAAATTATGGGATGTCAAGAGAGCAAAATTACATATTGTTAAATAGAATGGTCCTGACRAAAATGCCTTTTCTGATAAGGATTTCGATTTGCCACACATGCAATCAGTAGAATTCAAGATGGCGGCCGGATCTAAATTTTACACCAGGCGAAGGCAACCATCGCTACTGATCTTATAAATATAACTGTTACAGCTATCATACATTTGCAGTATTATTGTACAAGGTCCTTTTATTACTTTAGGGGCTGTATCTAAGAGGCTTTTCTGCAACTGGCAGTGCACTACTAAATGCACAGAATCGATGTGTTGCAACGGCTTCTTTATAGCACAAAAAAGTTGCAAGAAATGCAATAGATGTCGTAGATACTGCACATGCAATCAAGATTGGAGTTGGCCATAGTGAATGAAAGCACCTTCTTCGCTTTTTGAAGGACAATATAGGGATTTTTTAGTTGTACATGCAGAGATTTCAATAAAAACGCACCAATTGAAAATGTTGTACAAGATTTAGATGCAATAAGTACGAAGTTACAACGCGGAATTTCCCGTATGATGTGATTTCGCGATGAGTAATGCGTCTTACTATTTCGGCTTGAATTCAACTTTAGACGAATAAAAGGACGCGGTTTTCCTTTAAAGGCCTACGAATTATGCGAGGTTACCAAGCTTCAAAATGGATGCCGCCGCAATTTTGCTTCCCAGCCTAGTAAACGTAGAAGTAAATTCTTTGTCTGGTCGTTGGCATTGAAATTACTATTCACTCCGTATCAGTCTTACTCGGAGTTTCAACCTGAGAAAACACATCAAATAAATAACATGATCTGCTATGAATTCGTGACGTATTTCAACGAGTTCCCCGCGTCCAGTCCGCTAAATTACTCTAGGCTACTAACACAAGCAAAAGGACGGTTAAATTTTGACGAGTACTGGCCAAAACTAAACCTCGTCTTGCGGATGAGTTACTCTTCCATGATCAACGAGTAACTCGTCTGTTATGGAAAACTCGTCTATAGTCTGAGTACCGCCATCGTTGAGACGAGGCTGTGGTTAAGCGAATACTCTCGACTTCACGTTGTTTATAATATAAGCAATATTGTCATAGTTAATAGAGGGAGATTAACTATGGTCTTGTTGATAGTTTTCGAGGGAAATGCAATGATAAAAATGAAGTTAACATAAAAACAACAAAGTACAGAGCAGCTATTTTACTAACTTACTTCAGTAGAGTCATTTTCATCCGTCTGTGAAACAATTACTACTAGTCAGTGTTTATTAGTGTCATAGTTAAAGTTATGTTAGTTAACAAATAGATCTCATTTTTCCGTGCGTGTGTACTCTAATAGATACACAGATGACGTCAAAACGTAGTGAGAACAAAAAAGTACGCACGAGACGCAGTCGAGTGCGTGACTGTTGTTCTCACTACATTTTGACGTCATCTGTGTATCTATTAGAGTACACACGCACGGAAAAATGAGATCTATCTGTTTTATACAATATGTATCTATACTTTGATAACACACGAAAGCCAACCAATCAAAACGTCTGATTTTACTGAAAAGTTGTATAATGTCTAATAGTTGTATTACAATAAAAGAAAGCAATAGGTGTAGAGTCTACTAGCGTCTATTAGCRTAGGAACTATTTCACAGTCCGATGAAAATCACTGTAGCTGAAAGCGTCCGAATGTAGATAATATATAGGAATCAGACGTGTTTTTTGTAACTTTCATTTTTGATACCGGAATTGCTAAATTCAAGAACAAAGACTTTCAGTCCGGCGTATTATGACGACAGGATTCACACCCCACTTGTCTGTAAAAACACGACAGTGCGCTACTGCGGAAAATTACATAGTGACAGGTAGAGAATAAAAAAAACCGGCGTAAATTGTCATTCAAAAATGATTACAGTCTCACAGACGACATGACATAGAAAGCATGACATAGTATTCAAATGCTCGACTTCTGTAGGTCTCAATGGATCGAACAAAAGGCTGCTGTCGCCAGACATATTTGGCTTCGACTAACAGGAGGACCGAGTTTATCGGGAAAGCTTGAATGAAAATATTTTGGTTTTTCATTGCTGTGATTGACTGCTGGTCAGTATGAGAAATGTAAACTGGAATGCGCAATCTTTCTCGCAAGACTGACATGTACCTGCATAATGCCGTCTAGTCTTTGTACTTGCATATTGCCACTTAGTCTTTCTACCTGCATATTGCCATCTAGTCTTAGTACTTGCATATTGCCATTTAGTCTTTCTACCTGCATATTGCCATCTAGTCTTTCTGCCTGCATATTGCCATCTAGTCTTTCTGCCTGCATATTGCCGCCTAGTCTTTCTACTTGCATATTGCCATCTAGTCTTTCTACTTGCATATTGCCATCTAGTCTTAGTACTTGCATATTGCCATCTAGTCTTTCTGCCTGCATATTGCCGCCTAGTCTTTCTACTTGCATATTNAGTTTATCGGGAAATCTTGAATGAAAATATTTTTCATTGCTGTGATTGACTGCTGGTCAGTATGAGAAATGTAAACTGGAAATGCGCAATCTTTCTCGCAAGACTGACATGTACCTGCATAATGCCGTCTAGTCTTTCTACCTGCATATTGCCGTCTAGTCTTTGTACTTGCATATTGCCATTTTAGTCTTTCTACCTGCATATTGCCATCTAGTCTTTCTGTCTGCATATTGCCGCCTAGTCTTTCTACCTGCATATTGCCTTCAGTTGTCTTTCTACCTGCATATTTGTCTTGACGCAGTTATAACTCTGCTTCATGTGACTTGTGCAAGCTTGTGCAGACTGCAGACAAAATATGACCGAACAGATCCATATTTGCAGATGTACCCGAGGWTGAGTWAACGGAACCAATTTGAATTATCAGCTAGTTCATTYGAGCGGTCAGCGTYGGGACAAAGTGTTCGTTATAATAAAAGACTGAAAGACGACTTCAACTGCTGCTGAAGTGTGRCTGCAGTACAAACTTTTTTCTTATTGAGCGGATGTTTCATTTTCAAATCGAAAGGGAAGCGGAACAGTTTAGTCGTTTAGTTGTAAATAWAAAGTGTATAAAAGRTCACTGCAGTACCACTAAAAGACAAGGCCTCGTAGAGYTAGCGTTAACTTGTTGTGGTGTTCTCTCACAAAAATATGAATCTCGCTCTGGCATTGCTGTTTTTTGTTGCCTTCGTTTCCATCTCCGCAGGACGTTTCATCGCTGATGAAGGCGACACCGAGGAAGGAATCGCACCAGAAAAAGGTATTGCCAYTCCCCTAGCTCAGATWAACTCGCTTTAATGCAGTTACCTCTTCTGTCTCTCTATCCAGCAAGCTCCCATCATGCCTGGGAATATGTAYACACATGTTACAATTTTCTGAGAAGTGCTATTGTTTCACGCTCTTACTAAAAGCATTCTTGTCTAGTCTTTTTATATGTTTTGTGAATATTGATTTTTTTTTTCGATTGCGATAACATATGGTTTTTACGTTTGATATTTCACCCAATAAAGATATCATCGTGATCATTATCATCAAAATTATTATTACTTTTTTTAATACTGTTTTATAATTATACGGATTATGAGACCAGAAAAGATATTGTAAATTATATGTTTTAAGCATGCAAAATAAAAAATTATCATTTTTACTACTGAGGAAATTTTTCATTAATGGAAAAGCTTTATTACTGTTATTGATTTAAGGAATAAAAGACGAAATTCCGCGTTTGATATGTTTCAAAAAAGTGCTTATTGTAAATCTGTCTATAAGTGCTTTTGGTGTGTTCGTCAGTGAGTCATCAAATTTTATTTCAATGTTAGACAACCTATACTGAGATTTGATAAATGTAAAAAATATGCGAAATACGATCTATCCTAAAAATTGCTATCAGAACTTCCTATTACATATTTTGCTGTAAGAATAAGACATGGATGAATCCAGAATTGATAGTGAACTATTGTTGAGGTTATTATCGTTAATATTACTATTATTTTTATCTTTTTAAGTCAAGTTTATGTAAATAATAAATGTTAATCAAGTAGCCAATTGTAATTTACCTATAGGTAGAGAGATTTACAATTGTAGATGTAACAAAAAACAAAATAAAGTTTTCATTATTATTATCATTCTTCATATCATTATTGTCATTATCATCATTATTCCTATTATTATTGTCTATACTATTATTATTATTATTATTATTATCATTAACAATTAGACCTCGAGGTCGAGTGGACTACGAGCTTATAGCCCACGAGGCCGAGTCCGCGAGGCCGAGGCGCAGTATGAATGATAGATCATTAATATGTTTATACTAATTATCATTATTATTACTATCTTTTAGATATCGTGAAGAGGAGCAAATTTTTCTGTAATGGAAAATGGTTTTGTCCCGTAAAGAAAATATGCAAGCTGCGATGCTGCAAAGGATTTTATGCTAGCTGCACGAAGTATTGCCAGAAATGCTATGAAGTCAGAGACAAGACAAAGCCATGTTACTGCGATAAAAATCCAATCGTGAAAAAATAAGAAAGCAATAAATTTTGCCAGTTATAAATCTCACATGTAAACATAAAAATCCTTTATCTTTTTTTGCGTTAATTTTTGTTGTACTACAAATTATTACATTATGAAACATAGAATAAACAATTGTAGATATTTAGGGACTATAAGTTGTCATAAAATTGCTAACGGCAGAATGATCTCTCCCTCCCTGTGCTCTGCTCTGGCTGCAACGCGGGAGACAATTTTCATTAAAAACTTTTCACGCAATGGCCTGTCAACTGTACTGTATAATTAATCAAAACAATAAAAGCGCAGTGAACTGCGAGTYCTAAATAGTGCAATATAGTGTTGATTATTACACCAATTGAAGGAGCACGATTCGACCTTAATTAAAGGAACATGGTCCATCAGAATTCAGTGCGGTCGTTTTGTAGATTTTTTATCSATATATGGAAAATGAGGTGACTTCGAACATCCATTCGCAATCCGTTTCCATCCATCGGTTTAATTGACCCTGCTTTAGACGAATCCACAAGTAAACCCTTGTAGAATACCGCCATTTACTCGTGGACATATAACAATATCTCTGATTGGTCTAGGACTTCATAATCCATATTAATTTATTCTTCTTAAGCACTGTGATGTTTCAGTTTCAAGTTGCGGTAGTGTACCCTATAATAGTGTTGCCCCCAAGATAGCCAAAACTACTCGCTTCCTATTTAYAAAGCGTGCGCGGCAAGCTATGACGTCTAAACTGGTTCTCTTATTGTTATTGGGCTTGATTGCCCTGGCTTTTGCTCTTCCAGTTAAAGAAGTAGACGATAAAAAGCTAGRTATTGTGAGAGGTAATGTTAACGTTGATAAATGTGAGATTTTCACCTTTTGATCATCAATCATCATGCAGCAACGGTAAGATTTGCTTTCGCTTTGCAGAGAGGAAGCGTGGCATTGGCATTAGCGCTCTTCGACAAAGCAAGAAAGGTAAGTTTAACATTCTGTTAGAAAACATAAGTTAACTTCTTCATAAGTGCTTGATGGCCTTTTAAATATAYTAATTAGTGCTAATTATCAAGATGTAGCCCTCAAAAGGCAATTGTAAAGTTTTTTTTTTAATATTTCAAAGCTTCTTTGACATTTCTAGAGTACCTCAAACAAACCGGAAGAAGTTGTTCTTTTTAAGGCCCGTTTACACTTGCGATTTTTGAAGCGCGATTGTCGCGCGACCATCGCCTGAGTTTCAAACATGCTTGAAATTTAGCTGCAACTTCGCGTCGATTTTTCATCGCCGCGACAATCGCAGGGCTGTTTACATGTACGATTTGAGGTGCGCGAGAGCAAAGTGGCGATTTTCGCGCGACAGTCGCGCTGCAAAAATCGTAAGTGTAAATGGGGCTTTACTGCACTGATTTAATCAATATCTTTAGTTTTCTTAAGTGAAATCCACTTAAAATWGGAGGCACAAAAGTAAAATAATCAACTATGCTAAAAGTTTGTGTGTATTATGTCTACGTCGTCTACTCGTCTAGCACCTATCGCACAGTTATTTTGATATATTTAAAAATTCACTTCTTCAAATGACACGATTTAACGGTATTAGTTCCTCAAATGGTTCTTGATGTACGATGATGTAATGCCGTGTAGTGCCACACCTTTTCAGTACATCTCGACAGCGACGTCATATATATTTTCTATATAGTTGTTGTAAGGAGGAAAATCCTTGAAGTTGACCTTTTTGACATTGTTTTTTGCGCTTGCATGCAACTTTAGATGTACAAATATCCTTGTAGTACGTATACTGCCAAAATTACTCCAACGTATTCCATACCGTATCTGTATCGATTCGTATCATCATTCTGATGTACTATATATATTTTTGACAGCTAGAGTGCACGTACTTCATCCGTGAATCAAAAAGTATCAATTACTTCTGAATAATGTTGATTAAACAACAGGAAACGAAGGAATTAGAGTGACTGCGCTTAAACCGTGCAACTGTACAAACTAAATAGTTCTATTTAGTTGTATTAGTAAATCGTGCATGCGGTACGCAAATTGAATTGAATTGATACAAATGGAGCATTCTATACCGTCTTGCTTCAGGTCCAATTTTTTGAGTATTACGTGTACTTACATTATGTGTAAGAGTTTAAACTCAAATACCAGTTTCGTTTTATAACCTCAAAAATACAAAATTTAGGAATTGAAGAGGTTATAAAACGAAACTAGTTTTCCTAAAAGTCCTGGTGTTTTGTTGCGTAAAGATTAGTAATTTGAGTTTAACCTCTTACACATAATGAAATTTCAAAGATCTTTTATAATCCAACTTAAAGATATATCAAATAGATACGTGTACTTAGATTTTGTACAGTTGCACGGATTAGACTGATCGCACTTAAAGCGCGCAACTGTACTTGACTGTACAAAATCTTAGTAGTATTAATTTGTACTAAAAGTGGACGACCTGAAGTAAGACGATATTGAATGCTTCATTTGTATCAATTCAATTTAATTTGCGTACCGCATGCACGATTTACTAATACAACTAAATAGAACTATTTAGTTTGTGCAGTTGCACGGTTTAAGTGCGATCACTATAGGTGCATCCATGAGTCTATTCTCATTCTCAAAAAATCAAGACAAAACATACTAGATTACTTGATCCTTGAATAAAGTGTTCAAGCACTTAATAAAACGGCATCAGTACTCTACATTAAACTAGTTCATTGGGCAAGCTTTTCATTAGGTTTTCAAACACGACAAAGTTTTAAAAGTACGAGACCGAAAAGTCAAAGAAACAACAATAAATACAACTGCATTTTTTTATTCTTTTTTCTGCAAGGTATTTTACTCGAGGTACTCGGTGTGACGCAGTTAAAATTAGTCAGTCTGTCTAGTCTCCTCTCGCCTGGAAACGAGCCAAATAACATTTGGTCCCGCTTTCGCTAAAAGGAAAGCATTTATAAAGAAAGTCAAAGGTCTTTATGATGGGAAATACAAAGTACACTTTGATAAGTTTTCAATGTCCGCTAGCTTATATGCATTTGACATGTTTATAAATATCCTTTGTCATGATACTCAGGCCCTCGGCGTGGTTTCTGAAGTTTTCTTTTCGCTTTCTTAACATCTTTTGTGTTTTTTACTCCATTCTTCATACATTCATATACCGCGATAAGATTTATAATTAATCAAAGAGCAGAAATACAGATACGACTAAAGAAAAACACCCAGAAAAAGTGTAGAAAAGAAACTTGCACTTTTTTAAGTAGGGTACTTATTTGGTATGTTGTCATAGGTCTTTTAT